AAGGTGCAGGGCTAATTTGGGGCAAGCCAGACACAAAGGTTGGCCCCCACTGCAGTAAAGATAAGGCTATTTTTAGCAAATAAAATTGGCAGTCTGGAGTGAAAAACACATTGATTTGATGGTAGGGAATAAACTTTCCCAGGCCAGAACACCAGTGGAATGTGGCAATATCTCTTGCACTGAAGTGGATGCTGAATATCAATTTAGCAGAAATGGGAAATGCAGGGATTGCTGTATTGGCCTGGATCGCAGGCCCATCTAGTTGTTATCTCATTTTTAAGAGTAACAAAGACCAGATGTTTGAGAGGAAGATATAATACTCCTGTAATAGAGAACTAGACAATAGTATGCCTGAAAATGTATTTCTTCCATTCCCCAGGCAATTAGTGGTTGGCTTTTTAAAATATGCCTCTTGTGATGCTTTTAACTCTAGTATAATGAGAGTGCAGATGAGCTCTCTGGAGCAGAGACTATTCTCTTTTGTTTTATGTAGAGTGCTTACCACAACCAAGACCAGATTGGGCTTCCTTTGAGCCCTACAGCCACACCAATACTAAATTAAAAACAATAAGCATGCGGTGACTAGTCCTTCTTGAGACCTTTTGTTTCAGTATCTTTTTATAAGCGAGTTCCACAGTTCAATTTTCTACGTATGGAATTTGCTTCCACTGTCCTTGCATAAGATGTTTTTATTTTTTGGTGATAGAGGGTAACCTGGAATGACTATCTGGTAGCTGAATTGTCAATAGGAGTTGGCAGTAACATTTTCTAAACTCTGCTAGGGTTCAGGTAAAAATTATGGTGGGAGCTTTAGACAAATAGCAAGATTGCCCTGTAGAATGTCTTTTTCCTTTTCGCTCCAGCATTGATTTAATTCAGCTAGCTCTTCATTTCTTAACATATTCTGGATAGACTAGTCTGTGGGTATGGACAGGAGTGACATTTCTAACAGAAGAAATGCCTATCTCCTGCTAGGAGGTGGGAGCATACAGGCATTTGTTCAGTTTCACCCGCAGGAAACATACAAGTTCTAAGAGAAAGTTCTTCCTTGGTTCAGTATGGAAGACTTTGCCTGTGCAAGAAATTCTTGTGAAGGCAAGAACATTTATAAGGTTCTGGTGCTGCACTCCTCCAGTCTGAAAGAGATGTGGGGAGCTGATTCCTTCCTAGGACTGGGGAGAGTAGAGTGGCTGGTGAATGCTCCCTGTGCACTCCTTGGACCAGGATGGACCTGGTCTTGTGGAGGAGAGGGGAACAGCAGTTGCACAAGGCTCCCCATGCCTTATCCAGATGTGGTTCACTCGGTCTTGAGAACATGTGGGAAGCAGAAGCTGCTTATTTCTTCCTGGGAGCAGTGGAGCACTTGCTCCCCTGCCTTAACCAGTCCAGGGTCACCTTGATCGGGGAACACATGGGAAACAGAGAAGAAGGGGCAGTTGCAGGCTGGAATGCTTGTATACTCGCTCTTGCTAGTACTTTCCCAGAAATTTGCAGCGCTAGACATGAATGCCTCCCTATGGCCTGTTTTCACTGGCGTGTACTAACAAAAATGAATCTTCCAATCCAAAGTGAGTAAACTGAACCTGGACTTTAAACTAGGTAACATGATGAATAATCTGGGAAATTTGATGAGATATTCCATCAGTGGAGATCTTTACTATAAAATCAGACAAAACCAGATGTTCTTCTCTGTGTGCAACTCAGTGCTGAAGGTCATCATTCTCCGAAGTCTTCCCCAAGATAGCACTCATAGGGCTGAGAGGCCTGTTCTTCTCTGAGACACTTCACCCTCTTTTGTCTCTTGAAGTCAGTGACAACAGTTGATTTTTTTTTTTTTTTTTTTTTTTTTTCTTCTTTGCAAGCTTTCTGCTCTCATAGAAGTTTGTCTAGTGGCTGATGATCATGTATGGATGAACAGCAGTAAAATCTAGTATTCTTTACTGCTTGAGCTAAAGTAGAAACTTCCTTAGATTACAGCTATAACAAATTCTTAACCATAGGGACCAGCCCACAGAGGAAGGCAAAATGCACATTGTGTTACTGTGGTTTATATGCCTGCAGGGTAGGGATCTTCCTTTGAAAATGGTTTACTTCAGTGGTCACCAACCTGGGGCTTGCGACCTGTCGATGCCTGAGCCTCTTTAGGTCAATCCTGGGTTGTGGGGGACAGCTGGGCACACGGACATGCGCACACGCGCCACCCCCAGCAGGTCCATCTGTGGGGGAGAGAAGGGGGGGGGGGCAGATTGACACCCCCATGGTGAGGGACTGTCCTCATCCAGGAGCAGTGGATGGTAAGTAGGGTCCCAGCCCCATTGGGTGGTGTGAGGATTAGAACACCAGGGGGACTCCTCCAGGGACTCGGCAGAGCTCCCTCCCCATCTTTGCAGGGGCAGAAGTAGCAGAGGTGGCTGCTGCTGTACCTTGATTCCTACTGCAGCTGGCCACATGCAGCTCAGCTCAGTAGTGGGCACTTGTGTGGTGTCCCCAGCCTGACTGGGTCTGGGACTTCCGCCACCCAGGGGCATGCGGTGGGGGACTCCTGCTGCTGGGCACAACCCGGCAGGGGCTCCAGGGGCCTGTGCCCTTCCCCTTCATGCTCTGGGACGAAGCGGCTGCTGCTGCGGGTTGCCTGCTGCACCCAGAGCACAAGGGGAGGGGGCACAGGCACCCAAGGGCTCCATCGGGCTGTGCCCAGCAGCAAGAGCCTCCCCCTCCTCCCCCTGCACGTGGCCCTGGGTGGCAGAACGGGCCAAGAACGAAGCATAGTGGATGAGGAGCTGCCAGGATCACAAACCTTGTTTCTTTCCTTCCCAGAGGAGCTCCTGTCTGCATGGGTACATTTTTGGTGCAAAACCTCAATACTGTCGGTAGGTGATGCAAGGGTTACTTGTCTCATGCAATCCAGATTCCAGCTCCTGGTGCTCTCTTGAGCGCTATTTAAAAGCCCTGCCTAATTTAGCCATAACTGCAGGGTTCAGTTGACCTGGGAATATAGCTGGGCCTTTCATCTTCCATGTGATCACACCAGCAGTAACGAACACTAGAGGGAGTTCTCACTGCTTCTTTAAGAGTAACATTTTATGTACTCGGGCACAGATCCTCAGGTGGGTCCCTCACCCGTTATATCTACTTAGGTCATATCAGTTTTCTCACTTCAACAACCTATCCCCTTATTGTGGTCACACAATTTTTCACTAATTCTGGACAGACCTATATTAAAATTAACAAGGAGAGAATAAAATATATTGTTGTATACTGTTATTTCTACATTTTCTTTTGGCTGAGCCTTGCCCCCTTGCCTGCCCATCGGCGGGATGCGTGTCCTGGCAGGGAGACGGGGCGGGGTGCGGGCTAGGTGGGGGGCATGGTAGATTCTGGGGTGCCCTTTACTTCCAGAAAGTGATCTTTACCATGAAAAGGTTGGAGATCACTGGTTTAATGAGAACTTAACTTTCTGCCCAAGTTGCCTTGTGGAGACAGAAGGCTTTTCCAGTTCTAGAATACTTGGTACTCTTTTATTGCTGCTCCTGCTTTTACAATACAGGCAAAGTTAATTAAGAGTATCCAAAGTGGATGGAAAAGTGTTTCCAATCCATCACACCCAACTTATTCGATCTTCAGAAATGCCTTGTGTGTGGGGGGGAAGGCTTTTATTTTCATTTCTAGCTTCTAGTTTGTCAGGGCATAGGCTGTACTTCCCAGCTTTTCTCTGCAATCTCTGAGGCTAGAACTAAGTTTTATGATGAAAGCTCAGATTCTTAATTGCTTGATTCCAGAGGCTGGATCTTCAGGAATAATGACAAGTATTGTGAGAATCGTGGAAGAGGTGACAATACTAGTAACTCTAATCTTCCTGTCTTGCATTTGGAAGCTTACACTGGTGTCTTTCTTTGCTCCCATCTCTCTGAAAATCTGTTTGTACTCTGCATTGATTCTTAGATTTTTGAATATCCTTAGTTGCATGAGGCTACAGAAGCAGGCACAGCTGCTGTGGATTGGATCATCCATGTATGGTGGTAAAGCAACACTTCTGAACCAGCATCCAGAGAGGACAGTGAAAGAGTGACTCCTATTAATAACAGTTGTGCCAGGAAAGGTTATGTGAAACTTACTGTGTGCTAGCATTCCTGAAATTAATGATTGAACCTGTTGCAAAAATTGGCTTGGGAAACCCATTCACAACTAATGTATCTTCTGTGGGGAATTAAGTTCTCTTTAGAAAAGGGAACATCTGTTTTTTCCAATCTTCAGTTTGATTAGAAGTCTTTATTTTGATGTACAAAACTGGTTACTGAACCCATTTCATATTGGTTTAAAGGCTAAAAGAAAGCCTAGGTTGCAGTATACTGTGATTTTTAAAAAATTCTTTCTTTGCTTTTTATTTGTATTTTTCTTAATAGAATTTAATAAATCTTCCTTAACTTACGTAAGTCAAAGTCCAAAAAACCTCATTCTTGTAGTTTCTACACACTGGTTTTCTTATTTTGGTACCTCAAGGTTTAGAATGGATAGAGGCACCTGGTTGTAGGTTACCTTATCTCAAAATACTGAAATCTCTTGGTTTCTCTTATTTTCTCATCTGTTACTTCCTTAGTTCAAAGTTTAACCAGAAGCAGCAGTCAAACCAGCTCGACTGTTGTTTTTTTGTTGTTGTTT